TCTCTGGGTGCGACCCTCTAGCCAATTCGCCACCCACCGGACTGTGTAGTCATCCAAGTCACAGCCTCTTAACATGTTCACTAGTATGGGGTGGGATACCGTATTGAAGGCCTTCCTGAAGTCTAAGTATATGACATCTACCCCTACTCCTGTGTCCAGGAGTTTCGTAACCTGGTCATAAAAAGAGACTAGATTGGTCAGGCATGATCTGCCTGCCACGAGCCCGTGCTGGTTTCCCTTCAGCATAATTTGTCCTGCCGGGCTCTCGCAAATGTGAGCCTTGATAATTTTTTCAAAGACTTTGCCAAGGATGGAGGTGAGACTGACTGGCCTATAGTTGCCCAGGTCCTCCTTCCTCCCCTTCTTGAAAATGGGGACCACATTGGCCCTTTTCCAGTCCTTTTCCAGTTTTTCCTTATGTCCAGTTTAAAACGGTCGTCCAGCAGTTTGTGACCATCAGATCTTGCCTTCCCTTGGGGTGCACTGTTGACCAGATGTTCTCCCAGTTCCTGATGCACACCCCTTATGTACTTATAGGCAGCCAACAAGTCCCCCCTGAGCCTTCTCTTCTCCAGGCTGAAGAGTCCCATGTCCCTCAGCCTCTCCTCTTAAGGCCTGTTCTCCTGCTCTCTGATCATGCGTATGGCTCTCCTCTGCACTCTCTCAAGCTTCTCCACATCCTTTCTAAAGTGTGGAGCCCAGAACTGGATGCAGTACTCTAGGTGCGGCCTCACCAAGGCTGAATAAAGCAGGAGGATGACTTCTTGGGTCTTGAGATGCATCAGTAGATGCAAGCCAGGGCTTTGTTTGCTTTGCTGGCTGCAGCATCACGCTGGTGGCTCATGTTCGGACTGTGATCAATCATGACCCCCAAGTCTCTTTCGGTCGTGGCGCTAGTGAGCGTAGCACTGCCGAGCCTATAAGTATGATGTGGGTTCTTTCTCCCAAGGTGGAGCACCTTGCATTTCTCCATGTTGAATGTCATAAGGTTTTGATCCACCTACCTTATGAGCCTGCCCAAGTCAGCCTGAATCCCCAGTCTATCTTCTAGTGTCACCGCACTTCCCCATAATTTGGTGTCATCTGCAAACTTAGCCAGCCCGCTTCTGACACCCAAATTCAGATCAATTATGAGTATATTAAAGAGTACTGGTCCAAGTACCAATCCCTGGGGGACACCACCAGTCACCACGCGCCACGCTGACTCGGTTCCATTGACTGTCACTCTGTTGGTCCAACCATGGAGCCAGTTCCCCAGCCATGTAAGGCTGTCAAGGCCGCAGTCCCCCAATTTTACTATGAGGACATCATGGGAGACCAAGTCAAAGGCTTTTTTGAAATCCACAAAAGGTTCATCCACAAGGGAGATGAGCTGACATCAACCTCATCTCCCTTGTCCAGTGTCTAGAGCTTTTAACTCAAACTCTAGAGGCGCGTCAGAAAAGTATTAAAAGAAACTGACCCTGGCCAACGTGATATAAAAGATCAGTTGACTAATATCAACATAGACTAAACATGCACCCCATTTGAAAGGTTCAAGGCAAGCGAACAGAGACCTGAAATCTGTCCATTAGAAGTACCTAAGCTCACATTTTCCTTCCGTTACTCCTTCATTCTCATTATGTGCATTTATTACCCCTACTTCTTGTATTTCGCCTATTTTCTTTGGAGATAAGGTCTGTGAAGTGCATGAAATGTGCCTACTCCAGGGTGACTCAGGTCTTCAGATTGTCTTCCAATATAAATATTGGTTCCCTGATGAATTCTGTTCATTTTCTGGCAACTCCTCCTGGCAACTATCCAGATGTTATCAGAAAGCCGTTTACTCTAGACATCACAACAGATAAGGGCCTTGAAGAGAAGGGGCTAAGTAAGCTTTGCACATACATTTAGGAAGGTTTTACAGGACAGCACAGTAAAAAGTAAAATGTGTTCGTGGAAGACACAGACAATGAAGGCTGGAGAGGAGAGGAAAAGAGCAAAAGCAGTCAAGATTGAGGACTTCAACAAGTGTTTCAGCAGCACTTAAAGTGAAAAAAAAAATTCTCAACAGATGCCTTTACTCTCCCTCCATCAAAATTAGATGCATCTGTTATTTCTTGAAGTCTGTTTACTGAACAAAACCGTCCTGTACTAATGAAGAGTGTAATTCAAATACCGACTAAAGCAGCAATCAAAAAAATAATTGGATGTATAACTTCCGTTCCCTTGAAAGTGCTGCTGTATTAAGCTCGTACTCTTTTTTCCTCAGGCGCAGACTTCTTGGTGATTTACAACACGGTTTTGAAGTATGAATCACAAAATGTTAATGTTGTGAACTACCTACACCCTCAATTTAAAAGCCCAACATTTTTTGGAAAGGATATGAGCACTGCAGGCACAGATCAGGTTCATACCACTGTTACAACAGCATACTAAGAATTAGCTTGATTAGAGCAAACTATTAGAAGTCACGATGGCATTTTTTCCTCAACTCACGTATCAGCTCACTGTGTGCTTTTAGGCAAGTTACTTTAGTCTCTTAATTCTGTAAAGTTTTCCAATAAATAAAATGAGAAAGACAATGTAATTGCGATTCCTGCTTAAGTTCACAATAGTTTAAAGGAAGTTCAAAAAAGCTATATTTCAATATGCCTGCTTTCAGTAAAAGAATAAGTGTACAGCCTCCATCCCCACAAAAATTTAAATTTTCTTTGGTAAGCTGAGATCCTTTTTAAGCATCATTTTTTCATACCTGTGGTCTATACCCCTATACTCATTTTCTTCGCCCCATACAGAGTAGAAAGGCACTCACAGAAAGTGCAAAGCACTTTTGAAACAGTATTTTAAAACTGAATTGAGGAACTGGGTAAGTTCAGCTGAAACAGTAGTTCTGGATACAGTTGGCCAACCAGATGATCACGGAGGATGCAAGTCCAACGGGTCATTACCCATTTGCACCTAAGCTGGAAATCATGTACCGTATTTCATGGTGTACAGGTTGACTCAGTGTATAAGTTGACCCCATTTTTTGGATCCAAAAAAATTTGGATTTAGGAACTTTGTAGATCCAGTGTATAAGCTGACCTAATTATTTGGATCAGAATTATGGGGTCAACTTATACTAGCCCCTGTATGCCCTCACTGTGGGCCAGGCACCCAGGAGGTGGACACATGCCGCAGCATTGCTTGCAGGGGATGGAGCCAGGCTTGGCACTCAGCTGGCGCGGCCCAAGCAGTGTTGCTTGCAAGGGATGGGGCCATGCCAGCTGAGCACCCAGCCCAGCCTCATTCCCTGTGAGCGGCACTGCCTGGGCCGTGACAGTTGAGTGCTAAACCTGGCCCCATCCCCTGCAAGTGGCACCAGGCTCAGCACTCAGCTGGAATGGCCCCATCCCCTGCGAGTTCACTATGGAGATGTCGCTCATCTGGGCACCGAGTCTGGCCCCATCCCCTGTAAGCAGTGCTGCCTGGGCCGCACCAGCCGAGCAACGAGCCCAGTGCCGCTCGCAGGGGACGTGAACGGGGTCATTGCTCAGCTGCCATGGGCCAAGCAACATTGTTCACAGGGCATGGGGCCAGGCTCGGTGCCCAGCCAAGCAACACCTCCATAGTGATGGCAAGGCCCGCAGGCTGTGCTCGAGCTGGGCCCAGGCCCCGTGGCCTCCAGCGACAGGGATGCTGTTGGTAGGTAAAGAAGGTCAGCTCGGGGCCAGGCTGGGATTTGGCCAGGGCCAAGCCAGGCCAGCGCTGCGATAGAGGTCAAAAGTATTGATATGGTGTATGTATAAGTCGAGGTTGAATTTTAAGACTTAAAAATTGGGCTTCAAAACTCGACTTGTACACCGTGAAATACAGTAATTCAAAGTGAAGGAAGCGAGAGCAATGATGCCTATTGCTACAAACAAACAGACGTTGACATCAGCACGTCAGTTTTAGGACTTTAGTGGGAATGTAAATTATTAACCTTTTGCACTAGCCACCCGGATGACTTGAATAACAACTAGTATGGTACGTGCCCTGGGAGAATCTCATTTCATCTGCACAGGTTTTTAAATGATTACCCCATCACTGTGCTCTCTGAACATCTTCCAAGAGAAGCAAACAAAAACATTTCTTCCTAGATAGCTGGCAGGATCAAGCTTAACATTTTATTCTTTAAAAACATGGTTAAATTATGCAAGTCTGAGGATACCAGTTGGTTTGCAAGGAATGCATCACAGCAGCAGTTGCTAGTTCCATCTACAGGAGCACACCCTATATAGTTGTCTACCACAAGTAACCCCATCTCCTACAGGCAGATAGGACTGGCATACTAAATACCCTCCATAAAAAAGGCTCCAATGTTTTTAGCAAAGGATTTTTTTGCATATAAAAAACCATGGATGTGTGTTTACTCAAGTACATGAATAACTGAACACAGGCAGCAAAAAAAAAATAATCATCATTTTTACTGTTGCTGGCCTATGGTTTAAGAAACGGTACCCTTACCATCCACAAAATACACATTGTGCCATATACTTTGGTTACTAGAATACATTTTTAAACCTGAAATCAAAGCTGCAGGCATAATATACAAGTTTCATACTGCATGCTGTGGGACTTACCTAAAGGCTGCAAGTAACGGTGCGTAAATTGAGTCTCCATCATACACGTACAAATGGTCCCAACTGCACTCAGTTGCAAAGTGATTAAACCGAAGCCTTAGGATTGTGTTTGGCCTAGAGGGAAAGAAGGGGGAAATGAAGTTACAATTCAAACAGTACATAACTGACTGCACTTGCAAGCTGCCGTGATGTGCAGTTCAACTCTCAGAACAACTTAGTTACTGTATTTGTTCAAGATACGTGGACAAACGCACCTCAGGCATCAGACAGTGGATTCTTTTTTGGCTAGTAATGTCTTCTGCAGGCACGACTATACTACCTGCCTCCCTGCTACCCCCCTGTTGAAGGTCTAAAAGGTAACGGCGACATAACTGTCCATTTCTTTGCCAATACCAAATACTTTGGTCAAGAAATGGGAAGAAAAGTGGGCATGGAATTCATGTGGACAAGATCTCAAAGGACTGCAAATTACTACACAGTAAGTCGCCTGTCATTCAGTTGATTACTCGCACACATTTCACTCTGGATGACCAATATGCAATTCTCTGCTTGGGAGGTGGGTAAGACTTAAACATAGGATGCAAGACAGCCTAACCAAAGCACACCACAGATTTAAAAAGCTTCTCCCAAAAAGAACAGTACTCGCTAGGGATGTGAACTGAGCTCCAAATAGATGCCTTAGTGATTTCAGACATGCAGACCTCTTGTTACAACAGGGGCCGAGAGAGCTCTAATATGGCCCGGCAAATCTAACCTGGCTAACTCACAAGGTCTTATACAGGTGGAAACTTAGATAATCTGTAAAGATAATGCCAGACACTAACCTTCTCTACAAAAGCCAATGCAACCTGTGCATGTTCCTGAACGATTCCACCAGCCAACATGAAAGGACAATGTTCTTGCTACATCAAGTGCATGAAATTTAGCTTCCCCTGGGACTGACTGCATCATCTTCTTGGGGGGAGAAAATGGGGAATGGAATAGATTGCGTTTCCATGCAACTTGAACAGCTTGAGGAAGAAACTTCAAGGAGGCCCAAAAAGCAACCCTGCCCTTGTGCGACTTTGTATAAGGAGGACAAGGCTATGAGGAGCTGAAGCTCCCCATCCACTACAATGCAACACACACCAAATAAAGCACTCTAAAGTTACAGCGAGTACAGGGAATGGGCTGCCAAAGGCTCACTAGGGAGACTCTTAAGCCCTGCTAAAGGATATTGCTGTTCCAAGAGATACAGGGCCTCCAAAACGAAGGAAAAAGCATGCAAATCATGTTAGGAGTCTGAAAGCCCACTGGATCATGTGTGTAGCCCTGGATAGGAAAGCAAAGCAGAGAAATTACCATCATGTAAATCTTTACAGACTAAAGGCTAATAAGCACTCCTCTACTGCTGAAATGAGCATCAAGGAGAGACTTGATGGTAGAAACTCAAACAGAAATCTTCCACTAAGTTTGTAAGTCAGCCAAGCTGGGGCTTTCTTGCTCTGGAACAGAACACTCTGAACTTCAGCCTAAGGGTTTTTGTTCTGTGGACACGAGCCAGCCAGCATCCAGGGCCATCAGTGCAATACTGCTGGGAGTGGCTGTAGGATATGGAAGTTATTCTGCAAGACTGGAGGCTGCACTTAAGGTGCAGACAGAAGTGACAATTTTTGCCAAATCTGGCCCCTGAAAGTGTTCTACAGCCACGACCAAACACAGGCACGTGGCTACAGAGCACCTTAAAAGGGCCCAATTATATGAGGGTTCATATAAAGGCACTCCAAACTGGAGTACCTTCATTAACTTCCGTCTGTGCATGCCGGGAGCAGGGCTAGGCAGAGATACAGCTTCTCTCCCTGAAACAGCCCCAATTTGGAGTCTGATCACCCACCGTTCTGCCCCAACAGCTAATACTTGTTGGGTCAGAAGGATCGGCCTGACTCATGGTGCTTTCTGTGAAGCACCATGAGTTAGACCCGGGAGCTACATTTCTGTCTGCGCCTTTAGAAGAGACATCAGCTCCAAGCACCTGGCCCATGCTGGGACTATCAGAGCCAGTCCTACATCTTTGCCACTGTTTCCTCAGAGCCCTGTCTCTGGGGAATCAGACAAAACATCTATGATGGTGATGCTACTCCTTGGATTAACTGGACTCCCTCTGGAAAACTTCACTTGCAAAAGATGGTCTGTCAGAGTGCAACTTTGCCTAATCACGCAAAATTGTCTGAGAACTGCTTGCTGGGTTAATTCACCACGGCGTTCTGAAGGACAGGAAGGTGCAGCGCCACTGATATGATCTGATTCATAATTCACAAATTTGGGAGCAAAACGGCTTCCTCCCAAAGCAGAGATAATATTGGCTCTGTCTGTTGCTGACGTAATACATAGTTGTTCAATTATCAGCACCTAGAACAGAGGTGGACAAAATCAGGCCCATGGTGGACTCCATTTCCCAGCAGCCCCTGCCCTCCATGGAGACCCGGGAGCAGCAGGGCCATGACGGCCTGCGACCGCAGCACATCCGCACTCCCAAGGTGTCCGTAGAGAGTGGCATGGGCAGGGTGGGGAGCTGCTCTGGGGCCAGGATCTTGCAGTGGTGACAGCGCAGGCCAGAGTCAGGGTCCTTGCCTTGAACTTACAAAGATGGATGCATTTGTTGAGATAACGATGCAGACAGCCCATCCCTTTTCTTTGTGACAAACAAATAATGAAGGTAAAACCCTGACCCTGAATCACGAAGTCACTTCCTCTAACAGGCCAAGTTGTAGATGGCATTTTACTACTACTTTCAACAACAGGCACCTTGAAGAGGAACAATACAGGATGGTAAGAAGCAACTAGAAATGTGTAAAGTATCCCTTTGTTGACAATCTTCAGCAGTCTGAGCCCAGGTGGTGGCTGTAGAGGACACTGGTTTGCAAGGCTGCATCCCACCAAGGCCAAAGTTAATGAGCATATGGATACTGGGCTGGTCTTCTTGTGAGATTTGTGCTTTTTAGAGACTCCTTTTATCAGCAAAGAAGTTCCTCTAAGATCATTCATTATGAAAGCCCCAGAAAAGAGGGAACATGAGTGAAAGAGGAGCTGCTCCTTATTCAGAATCTGACCAATTCAGCTTTTCTTTACAGATTTAGAGCAGCAATCTCATTTAAAACCAAGCTGCTTCGTGCATCATAGATGACCATTCACAATTTGAAAGAGAGAGGGAAAGACTGGTTTTGTAACTGGCGCCAGCGCACACACAAAAAGAAGTCCAACAAAACTTGTGACCATTATGCCATGAATCAGATGACAGTCAGAGGATATACATTAGAAGTGCCATTCCTAAAAATGACTGGAAAACAACTACTGTAACCAACAGATCATTGCAATAATAAAAAGGAAAGAAAGTTGAGGGTCTTTCACAGTTTAGAAGACTTTTGGGAAAAGGTCACCTCTTCCTCTGAAGTCATTATGGTCTAATGAGCAAATATACATTTGAAGCGCAACAAAAGTTCAATATTTCTATAAAAATTGAATTTTCATGTACAGAAGATTTTTTTTTTTTTTTAAGTTTGATCTCTCTACTTATAGCATTATAAAAAAGTTACCAAGGCAGTTAAGCAAAATACCTGAAACCAGGATATCTGGAGGATTTGCAACTGTATTATTTAAGACATTTTTACACAGATCCAAAGGAGTTTGAATCAGGTGTGCAGACTTAACAAGACGCAAGTTTTATAATGCAAACTTTAGAAACTTGGATTCAGAAGGGAAAAGAAACAGTTTCTTGTACAAGTGTTTTTCCCCTATAAAATTTCATAAAAGATGAGCAAAACTAATGTCAAAAACAAAATATTCATTTAATTGTATAGCAGGTAAAAGAAATTACTGCAAACAAAGCCCTGGGAAATTAAGAAGTGGCTACTTACCTCCCTTCAATAAGCCACGTGCATTTTGTTTTGTATTTGTAATTTCCAGGCCCATCTGTTACATACCCAGAAGGTCCTGTTAACCTGCAATTTAAAAAAAATTACAAATGTAGGTTTCCAATATAATTAAATATTACGGTCAAAAATAAAAAGAGACTCAGCTTTAAAAAATATAACCAGAATTAAAATACCCAGCAATTCTGTTTTCATGTATTGAAAGGCTATTACAAAAGCAAGCAAGTAAATAAATGCAACATAAAATGGGTCAGGTAATTAGGATTCTGGTACTGTACTCTTGGTCTGTCTTTTCCCAGTAGCCAGCCTACTCTTATGCTATGCCAGGAAAGTCAGTACAGCCGGTCTCCGTCTCCTTCTCAGAGCAGAGATTCAGAAAGCCTATTTAACTAGATAACTGAAGGCAGGTATAGAAAGAACATGATTTGTTCGCACAAACTGCAAAACTGCTCCCAAAAAACACCACTTTCAGGACAGGAAAAAAATTATTTTCCGAAGTGACGTCTCAAGGGGAACTCTAAGTTTCTTCTAATTCGCTCTGTTATGATTTCCCGCGTTTCGCACCATTTAAGAAAATAACCCATCCTTTCCAGAACCAGGGTCAGTGATATCACATTTCTCCTTTGAAGACGGAGGATACATGCCCAGGGTAATCATCCCTGTTCGCCACGTTAGCTTGTGACTGCACAACTCTGCCTCCTTGGACAGTCGAAGATTACCCTTCATCACCATGATGGAGCGCATCCCAAACAGGTGATTTCAGATGCTTTTTCAGATGCACAAAACCCAGCACTTGAAGTGATTGCATAAAAATAAACCCATGACTTAGATAGGAACCAAGGAGTAAGAAGATGCTCCAGCCAGTAATTAGTATACTGTTGTGGGCTGAGATAATAAGCTTGATTCAACTGTACAGTTCCCCCATGTGCCCCCCACCAGAAGTTAACTACCTCCAAACCAACATTCAAACCAATAGTTAAGACCCAGACCTGTGGGGCTTTTGCAGTTGGCATAATAATAGCGTACTACGAGCAACACAAATGCAAACGTTAAGGACATAAAATCCAGTCTTAGTGAAAGGCAGGAGATAAATCCAAATGCAAAAGCAGGTACCCAAGTATAACCTCATAGGTTAAGACTAAGCAACTGAGTAGCTGGAAAAAAGTTGGGTTTTTTGCAACTCAGTTTGTCTAATAAAAAGAGATCACATCTACCCAAAGAACCTTGCCTGCCTATGTCCGGAGACCAACACAGCTACAACCAAAACCCCAGAAAGACTAAGCAATACATCTAGCAAAAGCAGGCTATATGTCCTCAGATTAAAGCAGGGGTGTCAGATCGGCTGACTCCAGCGTACAGAGCCCGTCATCCAGCCTGTGGGGCTGCCTGGTCTTGGAGAGGCCACATATGCCAGCCTCATGCTCGTCCGAGCAAGCATAATGAGCACGGAGCCAATCCGTAGGCCTGTTCCAGCTCGTGCACGTGCCCCACACGCAGTCTGCTTGCCAAGTCCGACCGAGTTGGATACCTCCGGGCTGGCAGAAATGCCTTTACACAGAGGAGGTGCACATCTCGAGTGCCCTGACTTTGCCTCTTTCCAGCTCCTGCCTTTACCTCACTCATCTTGAAACAACACGTGATACTCTGCCTCCTGCTTTAAGTAATGAGGAGTCCTGTTATTTCAGGAACTGTGGAAATCGGAGCTTTCTTCAGGAAATAAACGTGAAAAAATTCCAACCAAATCTTCCCGCGTGTACTTGACTGGGAGGAGGATCGGGTATGCCTTCCAGTATACACCAAGCCAGCTTCATTCACCTTCCCTTATGTGCCAAGCTCTTCCGGCATTTACGCCATTGTGTTCTCTATGCACCTGGATTCCCTGGAGCTTACGAGATTCAAAGCAAATGTTACGGGACCCAGAAGAGACTATACTGGGTCCTGCTGCTGGAAGAGCAGCTGAGTAACTCAACTATACCAATGACCTCTTCCCACCAGAACTGTCTCCAAGGGAAAAACAGCCTGACAGTAGCAGGAGAAGAAAAAGGGACTCTAGGTTCACTCGGGTAACAACAGGATAACAGCTGAATTAGTGGTAGGCACTATTCACCCCCTAGACATTCAACAAACACTGAAGTGCAATATTCAGGCAACTGCTGATTATTATACAGAACTGAGAGACAAGAAAGAGGCGCACCAGAGAAAAAGGAAAAAAAAAAAAAATCATGAATATTTGCAAAACATTTTGCAGGCATTCGTACTATATACAAGCGCTAGGTATTTTCAGATAGGTGAGGATGATGTTCACAGAGTCGGAGACAACGAAGGCTGTGCGAAGCTTTGGTCGCCAACTCGATTCGGAGATTTGGCCCGATTCAGCAGCCGAATCTCCAAATCTAATTGGGAGACCCATTAAAAGGTCCGAATCTAATCTGAAGCCTCCAAATCGATTCAGAAAAAAATTGGGGAGATTCGGATCAGCCAGGCAAGCATAGCCAGGCAGCTGCAGGTTCTCCCACAGCTACTCTGGCTGTGCCCACCTCTCCCTGGGCAGGAGGAGCCGCAGGAGAAGCCCCCATGGCTGCCCTGCCCGGCCCCATTCCCCCCCAGCACTTAAAAAAAAAAAAAAAGCCCTGCACTCACCAGCTCTGGCAGCAGCAGCAATCAAGGTTCATGGTAGAGCCCGCACCCCCCATGCAGCACAGGGCAGTGGGGGAAGCAACCTGGCACCTGCGGGGCA